GGAGACAGGGTCTCACTACCTAGTATAACTTAGGCTCTGGACTAATGATGTCAGCCACTGGAGATGATCCTCCTACCACTGATTCCTGAGTGATTAGATTACAAACTGATGTCACCATGCTTGCTGCTATCTTTGCTTCCTTTTTTGCTTTTGATGGGGAGATCAGTGGAAAAAATGTCTTTCTGTGTCACCCAGGCTGACCTCGAACCCCAGTTATCCTCCTTCCCGAGTCCCTATGTTTTGTGATTGCAGAAACACAACACTATCCCTTGATTTCCTTTTTTTTCTTTGCTCTTCATATTATTTACATGTCATGTCTCTCATATAAGAGATGTCATGCAGTCAGAGATACTTGTCCAAGCCAGTGGTTACTCAGCTCTATGAGGAGAATGGGGAGCCAGAGGGTCAATAGTTTGGGACATGGGAGAGCTAGCAATCAGTAAAACTCAATGTATGATATCTAAAAAAGAGGAGCAACAGGGCCAGGGATTTAATTCAGTGGTCCTGTCACCTGCCTTGCATGTGAAAGGTCCTGAGTTTAATCCCTAGTACCAAAAAAACCCCAAACAAAAACCAAAACAAAAACAAAAAACAAAAAGGTGAGAAACTGAAGTACTTTACATTCACAGAGTAAATGGTTGCTCAGTACAGAGGTGAATTTGCCCTTGCTCATGATGAAAAAAAAGAAACCTCCCCATATTAAAAGTGCCAACTCTGCTACCAGAGATAGAGCCTGAGGAGAAGGAGACCTGAGTTGATCCTAGCAAGTAGGAAAGTAGTGGTGCTTCCCAGTATTTCCCTGTGCAGTGAGACAGCCTTGGGTCTGGCACCATCTTCAATGCCCCTTCTCCCTCTGCCTAAGTACAACAGGCAGGTTAAGGATTTCAACAACACTGCTCTGAGAGGTATCTGGAATCTCTTTCTCTATTTTGGTAGGTGGAGTAGGAGACCAGACACACCCTTGTTTTCTGGTCTTCAGGATGCAACAGCCACTTCTTTCCAGACAGACAGTAGGATGCTCTTAGTAGTTAGGTTGGAGCCTAAAGATAGACAGCTGGGACCAAAAGAGTGAAACCAAGGGACTAAGCAAGTGACTTAGTGCCTGCCTTGCTGAAAAGCAGACATCAGGGCAGGAAATTCTCCATGGAGTGAGACAGAGAGCATTAGTCTAGCTGGTGGTGAGTACATCCAGTCCAGTGAAGGGGAAGAGCAGAACACAATAAGCCAAGATATAGAAAACAAGGTGCACAATGAACACTGCTGCAGGCCAGAGCTCAATCACAGGGGCATTTGTGTGAGGTGGGATCTAAGGCTGGGAGCTGGGTTGCAGAGAGGTCCAGAAAGCAGGGGGTGTTTAGCTCCTTATTTCAGTGAAGTCCCTGAAGCCCCAGGTTCTGTGCTCGTCTGGAAGGTTTCAGAGTAACCAAGGCAGTCCATAGACACTGGGCATCAAAGCGTCCAGGAGCCAGGCCTGGGAAATGAGGCACTGTGGGCATGGTTGGGACTTGCACACAGATTTGGCAGACACCACATTTTCCCCTCACCCTGGCTCCCAAGAACAGTAGGGATGAGGACATCAGTGGCTGTCTCCCCAAGGGCAAACCTGGCAGAGCACAGAGGTCACCAAAGAGGGCAAAGCTCAGCTCTAAACTGAAGGAAATGGCACAGAGCTGAGAGGAGACACAGGGAAAGACAAGGGGATTTCCATGTTGCTCCTTCCTTTAGGCCCTGTCCCACAGTGGAATTCTATAGGAAATACTGGTCTCCAGTCCAGATTCCCCACAAGGCTGCAGAATCACCATGTGTGTCATTTTGTAAGCATTATGCTATTGCATGTGGTCCTACAAGGTCTTACCTTCTTTTGTTAGGGTCTCTCCTGCCAGGGTTGTTTCACAGGTTAACATTCTAGTACACATGTATCTGCTAAATCTTTAATTGGACTCAAGTGGAACAGATTAGAAGATGCAGAAACAATGCCAGACACACTTAGCCATCTTATCTTCAATAAAGGAGCCAAACACCCTCACTGGAGGAAAGATAGCCTCTTTAATAAATGGTGCGGGAAAAATTGGGTTTCAACTTGCCAAAGATTAAAACTACACCTATATCTCTAACCATGCACTCAACTAAAATAGAAATGGATTAAAGATCTAAATATTAAAATAGAAACACTGAACCAGTTGGAACAGAGGTTAGGTAGAACTCTTGAAGACATT